CCTCCAGAGACCCCCTGCCTTGCCCCCACGTGGAGCCGGTGCCATTTGGTGGCCTGTTTCGGCTGCCCCCGGCCCCCCCAGAGCACCAGGACTCGTTTCCGATTTTGCTCTGGTTTCCCCGTGGGCTCCCGGGGAGGGGGCAAGGAGCTGTTCGCGGCGGGTGGGCGGGCAGGCAGGGGATTTTGAGATTTCTGTGCCACTAACTTGTGCTTTTCTTCGAGTAGGTTGGGCTCGCGGCTGTTGTGCCTAAATGCCCGTGCGTGTGTGGGCAGCAGCAGTCGCGAAGCACCAGGTTGGAGCGTGTTTGGAAAGCTTGCAGTCCCCGCGCCTCTGGCTTTTACTGCGAATTTAAATAATTTAGGGGTTGCTCGAGCCTCATGAGAGACAGAGCAAAACTTTGGTAGGGGCAGCATGGGGCAGAGCGCGCCTGCCAGCTGGGGGTGTTTGAGTAACGGCACCCTATGGCCCCCCCCATTTTTCTCTCATCAGTGTAAAAAGGCTTATTTCTTGTCAGAGAAGTATAAGCAAAGAGCATTCTGTCTATCCTGATGAATTTCAGAGAGAGAATTGGGCAGTTCTCTCCCTTCCCCGCAGTTTCTGAATGCTTCCTCCAGGGATGGTGCCCGTGTTATGAGGTAGAGAGCTGAACTTGTAACCCTCGTCCCACACCTGAACACAATTAACATCCTATCTATTTGTCACTAAGCATTGGAGAGCACTAGGCATTGCTAATTGCAATGTGGAAGCCTAGGTTAAGTTTGCAGAGTGGAAAAAAAAAAGAGACAGTTTATATTGCTGTCAACTTCCCTTTGTAATATCAGGACAGGCTTCCCAAACCTTGTGATCAGCCACATGTATAGTTATTAAATTTTGGTTTTTATGTGGTGGTGTTCAAAGTAGAGCATCTTCTTCACTAGCAAAAAGCATCACTAACCACACAAAACTAGTTTGCCACTGTTACATTTTTAAAACCTAAAGTAAGATTTTGAAACAGACTGGTGGTCCATTTTAGGCTTTCTTGAAAGTGAGCTCCTGCAGTTTGAGGGCTTTGGGTCAAATCTGACCTGACCCACCCAACCTGTTAAGAGAATAGGGGCTTTCAGTGCATTGGCATCACTGTGGTTCTGTACAGGAGTGGTGGTTGATTTTGTTCAAGCATGTGGGAGATGTGTTTCATGTCATAGTTTCACAGATGCTCCAACACACAAAGCTGGGCAGGGGCAGAAGGGATAAAGCTCATGTTGTCTGCATCTACCCTGCAACACACTGCCTCACATGAGGGTGGGGTGATACCCGTTAGATCTGCACCATCCATTAGGCTGTAGTTTCAACTTAAGTTGTGGAGATATAATGGTGTTTTCCCTCCTGCTTTGATTTTCTATGAGCACAACCTGGCTGTGCAGAATACATATAGAGACTAAGAGAAAACTAAGATCTCAGTCTGAGGAGGAAAGGGAGGTCAGGTGCATCTTTTAATTTTGTACCGTCTTGGAAGGCAAAGGGGAGGGGTGCATTAGAAAGATACAAAGGTGTTAAAAAAGAGCACTCGGCCCTAAAAGGCTGTCCCAAGTACAGCTTCACTCAAACTTCTGTTGGCAGATTCATTTGCATAGCTTCTTTAAGACAGGTTTTATTGTGCTAGTATGTAAGGAAGGGATGTGTGTTTAAAATTCTTAGTTTATTGAATTTTCACCATTTTTATGCATGTTCTTACTAGCTGTCCCCCACATTAATAGAATAACATACGCAGGGGTACAAGATTAATATCGTGCCATCCATTATTTATTGTACTTACACTCTGACTGACGAGTGTAGGTGGTGATATGGTATAGAATAAGGTGGTATGGAAACAAATATATAAAATTAATCAACAAGAAAGGGCTAATAGTTTATCTCCAGTTCTTGACCACACTGTCATCTGCATTCTCTCACAGGTTAGATAAGTCAGGCTGTAGTCATCTCAGATACCCTGCATCACTGGGAACCATTCCTAGACTTGCACAGATGAGGGTAACAAGCATCCATTTTTGTTCAGCTTGTGCAAAAGGGAACCTTTTCTTGTTTGGCCGTAACTAGTAATTCCCCTTTCCAGCACCGCTGCTACCTGCCCGGAGCACAGGCTGGTGCAACCCCAGCCCACGGTAGCAGCCTGCCCCATGCTAATCCGGGGGGCACACCCCTCCATGGCCTCCTGGGTTGTGTGCAGTGGTGGGGAGCCACCCCTCCCCCTCCCTGTGCCCCCTGGACAAGTCGTGGCTCTGTCCCATGCCCCACCCTGCCCTGGCTGGGCAGCACCTGCCCCTGCCCCAGTCCCACTCCCTCCCTCACTGCAGGAGCTGCGATCTGCCCCCCCTTCCCCTTCCCCTACAACAGACTTACCAGCCAGACACCGCTCTTCAAGCTGCCAGGCTGTGTATCGGAAATTGGATCGGTATCAGCTAAGATGCCTCTTTAAAAATCAGTATTGGCCCAAAAAAACTCTGTGGATGCACCCCTAGTTTTCTTTGCTGCCACTAAACAGCACTTCAGCACAGCTGAATAAAGAGCACAAAGCCAGATTGTGGTGCGTCTGTGTGCTGGTATGTAGGAGTATCAGGTGCCCTCTTACTTCCTTGTGCCATGCTGTCATTTCTAGTGCAGTGAACCACTGTCATACCAGCTTTTCCCTTCACCCCACCTTCCCAGGAGGGATGTGATGTGTCTGGCAGGATTATTACACCTGCACACTGGGGGCTCTCTGTTGCCTGAAGTCTATACCTGGTACTGCTTGGAAACTACGAGGGAAAGCAATTCCCAACTCAGTTGGGTAGCAGTAGGGGCAGTAAAATAACATGGTCTGACAATCTAGCCTTTCATTCATAGGGCAGTGCTACAAAAATGTGTAAGAGGTGGGAACCCATGCGGGCATGGAGTACCTCAGACTGAGATGCCAGAATTTCTTGTCATTGTATTGCTTCTTATAGTCTTGGGATTGTTCTTCCTACTAACTTAATTTGCTTTCAACTTTCTCTTTTATCTGATTACTGAAAAGGGATTGATTGCTTTAATGCCACTCCTGAATTTAAAACATGAAGGTACAACGTATAGTGCCTTGTCCTGTTGTGGCACGGTATTATAAAGTGTTAACTTTCACACTGCACTATTCCATTTTCAGACTTCAGCTGTGATAATCATAGGGTTTTTGTTCAACACTTTACAAATTGCTCTGTGCTTCAGAGAAGCCTTTAAATGAGGTCTAGTCTCCTGTTGATGCCTACGCATGAGTCTAGTTAACATCAGTAGGTGTTGCGTATGCACACTGACAGAGGCATAAAAGCCCATCATGTTTGTCAAGATGTATCTTAACTTGTCAAAAGGAGCTTGTCCTAAGATAACTATTCCTGAGGAAGCTACCCTCCATTTTGTTGCACACAGTTCTATACTTGTGTGTGAGGTTAAGAAATTCCTGCCTGTCTGTGTTCCAGCATCAGGTTTTGTGTTTTCCCTTCCCCCGGGCAAACCTCTTGTCTGTTTCTTGGAGTTGATAATTGTAAGCGGTGAGATATGGCAGATTCCTAAGTTGGAAAAACAGTATGCTTCTCAGGAAAAAAAATGACATGTAACTTGTAAAGATGCAGAACTGTGATAAGTACTGAAAGTTCATAGAAAAAAGAAAGAGGGACCTGGCTTCCTTTTTAATCCATCTCTTTCTACTCTAAGTTGTACGATTTATTTATTCAGCAACTGAAATAATTCAATTTTTTTAGCTTCCTCAGAGACCCAAACACTGGTAATGAAATATGGAACAGCCCATCTCTACCAGAGCTTAAAATCTAGACAGGTTCATAATGATCTCAGGTCATTACCCTCTGAAATCTCCTCAGGGGTTAGATGAAAATACTTGATCTGAGTCTATTTTTAATGGACAGATATCACCATCCTGATTGGAACTAATTGTTCCAGCTGTTGCAGAACCACATAGAGCTGGTATAGGCTGAATAGGCAAAATGATGTGGTCCTTTAAGATTAGGAGAATGGCAGTGGCATTGAGTGGAGGGACGGATCAGGATATTTGCTGGGGCTAGTGTTTGGTTCAGTTTTCTTAAATGTAATAATCTGAGTTAAATCACCTGAATGTCACAACGACACAGACTGATGTTGCAGATATCTCTGTGGTGATTTTAAAGAAAAGAAATTGCCCATGTGAATAGAAAATACCTAACAATTGGGTTCAATTTGGGAAGAGAAACCTGGAAAGAGATCTAGCTGGGCTTCAAACTAGGTATGTTTGGAGTGAAACAAGGCAGAGAGGAAGACTAAGAATGCTTTGAGTCATGAAACAGGCTGGCAAGAGTCTTTTACCATCTTTGTTTTTGGATGTCTCAGTAGAAATATAGTCTTAAACTGGAGGAGATGCAAGTAGTGCAGTATAAATGTTCAAGTAGTGTAGTATACAGGTTGGAGGGATTGCTTTGTCTGACTCGCGGACAGTCATCTAATCTGAGATTATGTGTACAGCTTTAAGAGGGGCAGAAGTAATAAACACCAAGGTTGGAAAAGTATTACTTAGAGACTCCAAAAAGATTTAATTGGGAGTAACAGGATGTAATTGAGCCTAGGGCAACTGAAGCAGAATATTAGGAAAAGTTTCCTGACGTTGGGATGCGTTGGGTTGTAGACATCCTTCAGAAGGAAATTCCAGAAGCCTTTCTGGGGGATAGTTAAATTAGACTCTGTAATGTCTTTGAAAAAGTATGGTTGGGGGATAATGTGGCATTGGCAAGGAGATTGAAGAGACCTTCTGGATGAAGTCTTACAGTTGATCTCTAATTATTACAGTGTGTGCTGATGTTGCTGGTGCACTCCACTCTACCTGTTTAGTGATTAGATAGCGCTTTGCAAGTATGTATTTTCATAAATGTCCCTGTGAAGAACATTTCCTCTTATGTGAGCACTGTAATGAAAGTTGCCCCCTTTTATATCTCTGACTGTTTATCTGTAAATTGCTGCAAAATGATGGTGTGCTATTCTTTAATCTTTTTAGAAATATCAGAGAGGAGGGAGGAAGAAAAACCCGTTTCCGTGGCTCCTTCTGCTGGTGTCCAGAAATTACAGCGGGGTGATCTTTTGTTATAAACTGTTTTTCAAGAGACATTCCTGCAATTATGAATGAAGTAGCAATAGTGAAGGAAGGATGGCTTCACAAACGAGGTAAGTATCAGTTCCTCCTCACTTAAAGGAACACTGACTGTTTTGGTCTGTCAGCACTTATTCTCACATTGATGACTTTAACAGCATACTTTTTTTTTTTATTGACAATCCCCTTTCTTAAAACCTGTCTGTCCTGATGGTAAATGTGTGGAAGAAAGATGTGTGAATTTCTGTGAACTATGCAGTACTCTGAGAAAATGTGTAGTACATTTTCTGTGTTTTTTCTCAGAAGACTATCTCTGCCCTTTAGTTTTAAAATGATGCTAATGATAAAAAGCCACTACTCTACAGTTAAGTATTAATGGGTGGACTATAGCAAAGGTGGACTAATTAGTCTGTCTTGATATCTTTTAAAATGTAAGCAATATATTTGCTACTGTTCTCTCTACATGCATGTGTCATGCAGTTGTCTCTCGGCAAACTGCATTTGGACAGCAAGAAATACAATGTTTGTTCGTTGTGTGTGCTTTTGCAGTAACTTTGCTAGGGAATGCACTCTATTTTGTACTGTGTGCGTGCCATTTAAATACTAATTACTTTTAGTACCAAGTCCCAAGATATGAGCAGTATCATGAATTCTGTATGTTCCATGTTTAATGTTGATAAAATAAAAGACCTGCATGAGAAGGAAGGGACACCTGAAATATAACTGACACTGTAATTGCATATGCGACTGCACTATTTCTTATTAGGTGTTGTGTTCCTTCAATATTCTGCTGCCAGTAAGTTTAATTGGAGTTTATTGTACAGGGTGTGTGTTTTTTGTTTTGTTTTTTTTAGTACAGCACCACTATGCGTATTAGCATATTAGTACAGCATCACTATGCGACTTACCCATTACTTTGTACTGTATTACTGCTTTCTCTCAAGAAGTGAACATGTTTAGGTGCTTTCCATAATCTCATCTTTTTGGACCAGCAACAAATTTAGTGCTAATATGGAAACTTTCTGTTTTTGCAGAATCAGGATTTTTCCAGAGAGTTTGCAACAGCTTAGTAACGTAGCCTGAAGGTACACAGGTACAGCAAAATTATTTTTGGAAGAAGAGGGAAGTACCTTATCGTAACCTTGATGAAGGTTGATTCTTCTGCAAGAAAAAATTTATAATACACAACATTAAAATAAAAGGGATATTTTTTTCTGAAAACTGATATAACATTTAGTTTTTCATTATCAGCTGATGCTTGGTCAGGAGAATTTGACAGGGCCATTTGAAAGCAGTATTATATTTTTAGGTTTTCATCACAATTAGTTTCAGACACAGTTTATGCATATAAATGCCCCCTGTCTGCAGCTTACAGAAATATATCTTAACTCCTGTCTCTGGATAGCTCTGTTACCTGGTTCAGTCAGTGCGTTAGAAAGGCATACTTTGCTTGCATAAAGCAAAGGAAGTAAAAACTTGCTTGTGTTTCATATTAGACTTGAGGGTCTGAAGAATTCTTGCAGCTAAAAGGACAGTGTGGACTTGCATTATATTTTTTTTACCTAATGTTATTACAAATAACATATATGTAAAAGACTGCAACTGAAAGAGATTGGAGGGAAACATTTGTTTTTGTGGTCTAAAGCACAAATAACCAAAAGACCAGATCAGTTCTTCAGCCCTGCAAGGTTAAGTGCTGCAGCCACAGGATGTTTCTAAAACTTTATACAATTATAAGATAGTCAGCTTTCTCACTATGTTTGTGTGAGTCTTTCACATGAGAACAGAGTGGAGGGAAACATTTCTCAAAAAAAACCTTGTAATACGATAGATACTGTCCCTGAATCTGCCAAGCAGATACAGTCAGTATCTGAAATCACTTTTACCTCCTTTTTAACAGTCTGACTTGATTTCAAAATGACTATGACTCTTAACCTGGGAATTGAAATTTCTTTACTTTCCAAGTGAAAAACATAACTTCCAACCAAATAAGATGCCAGTTCAACATAGTATGTAATGCTGCTGGGGCAGCTTTTAGTTTAAAATGGCTTACTTGAATTTTAAGTTCCTATAGAAACTCTAAACAGGCTGCATCATAATTTCTGACTCACTTGCAAGATTGTGACCAGATTATTTGATGAGCACCTTTTTATTTTGATGGTGGTTGTGGGCAGGATAAATAGTGCAAGCTGCATATTTGATAGTCAGATTCGTCTTTGGACTAGGTTCATCCAGGTCTTTTGCATCGAAGGGAAACCCCATCTCTTTATCTTGGTTTCTGCAGCTTTTTCCACTTCTGTGTCTCGTTTTGAGGACTGTTGTGGTACCTATTTTCCTCAGTAGTTCAGTACAACTGTTAATTGAATGTCACTAACCTGCCGATGGATTTCAGGAAAACAATGCCATATCCCCTTTTAGGTTCTCCAGAGCACCACATGCATCTGCTCTCCTGTACTTCTGGTTTTGTTGGCAGCAGTTTTGACATCAGTTGTGAAACTTGATTCTCTCAGATGGAGGGTCAGGCCGGCCCACTATTGCTGGTCTTTTTGCAGGTGGTATATATTTGTTGTAGATGTGCTTTAATCTATAGTGATTATTAAGGAGATCTGTATATGGAAAAAAAAAAGATTGATTCTCCAGCTCTGCAAGGTTAAGTGCTGCACAGGATGTTTCTAAAAGTCATGTCCGATACTGTGAGCTTGTGAAACAATACATAAACAGTAATTGTTGTAGGGAGGGACTACCAAGGGAAGACTACAGATACAGTAAATGCCTGCAGTTTGTCCCTTTGGGTAAAGTATACAGATGAGATCTTGACCATTTGTAGTCTTTAATGATCCCATGATTCTTTTCACAGGCATAAAGAGTGTTAACCCTGGTGACTGGCCAAATTCCAGATCCCGTAATTATGTTCTGACTACCTAAAATTCCCCTTGTAGCTTCAGTTGGATAAAATAGCTCTTTCAGTTCCTGTCTTCAACAGCTGAACAGCACAACAGTGTGTTTTCCCCCCAGTGATGGCCGTGTTTCCGTGGCTGCAGTGATTTGTGCACATATAAATCAGCTTGCAAAAAGCTTTGTAACCCTTCTGGAGGTCAGATGCTATATGCGTTAGCTATCATTAGCTGGAGCAGGTGTTTTGGTTGGTTGAAGTATCAGGACTTTCTAGCATTCTGGAGTAACTTCCTTCCGTTAGCTGGCTTTCTTTTTCCAAAATAAAAATAATATATAAATATGTTTCATTTCATTTCCCCATATATATCTAATTTGTATATCTAGACATAGCTATATATGGATAAGTGAAATTAAACATTTATATTCTTTGTATGTTTTATATATATACTTCATACATATATATACATACTGCACACACACACATATATGGAGAAATGAAATTAGACATCTTTTTCTCTGCTGGTCTGAGTTCCTGGCAGTCCTGTGAGTCAGTCACTTAAAGGAAGTGCCACTTCCAGTAGTGCAGATGTTTGTTTGCAGAGAGGCTAGAGTCATCTCCATGACACTTCTAACCTCATCGAGTCAGAAGTATAGGACTTCATGAATGAACTGACATTTTTTTTCAATTGGCAGTGCATAGCCCTGCAGTCCTAATCAGGATACGTCAGGCGGTCAGCTTCACACACAAAAGCAGTAGTTACAAATCCTAACCTCAGTTTGAAGAACTGCATAGCAGAAATGCCTAATGTGTGTATGGGAAGGAGGCAAGGAACCTGAAGTGGAGGAACTTGAATTTTGTCATGTTTGGGGGAGATGTCTACGTGTATGTCTGCATGCTGTTTGTGACATTGTTTATGTTGCAGAGCCGTAAGGCAGGTAAAAGAGAATAAAGGGGGGAATTTAAGCTTTGTAGGTCACATGACATTAAATTAACTATTTTTTGTTGAAACTCCTGCGTTACTTTGTTTCTAAAGGTGTGTCAGTGGCAGATTGAGCTTTAAAAGCATGCCCATTGTGGTGCATTTGTTAGACTGAAGTAGACATTCGCTTGGCCTCTATGTGCCTGAAAGTCTGTTGTGTTCCTTTGGTCATCTGTGTTCATCATACCACATTTGTCCCTATTCTCTAAGGGTCTTCATGATAGTATCACTCCAGTTGTCATCCTCTTTACATTCAAGTCTGTCTTTAGAAGCCCACTTCTTCCAGGCCAGTAAGAAATGGGATACTGTCAAAACACTGCCCTCCTCACTTCTGCCTTTCCTGGTATATCTTGTTTTCTCTGAGTCTCATTTCAGTTATAAATTCTTTTGGGAAGAAACTTCCTTTTTTATGCTGTGAAGAAGGGACTGTTTTGTTGGGGCTAAATAGGAAATAAAAATCTGATGGAAGCAATTACACTCAAGCCTGTACCAAATATGTGGGTTTTTTTTTTTAAATGGCATACAAAAATGCTGCATAGCATTTAGGCAGAAAATTTGCAACGGCTTATCCATCTGATGCTGCAGGAGTATTTTAGGCAAGTAAAAGACAATTACTCAATTTGGGGTCTGGGTCGTCAACAGACAAAATTGCCAGAGCATCTTTACGAACCAGTGACTCTTCAGCTTACTTGACAGGCAGTCCTTTCAACAGTGGGGTGGCCCTACTGCCATGCTAAGGAATCAGGTCATTGCCAGCTTAGAGAGATCACAGTAGCTCTTGGAATAATGTGTGTGCCCTTTAGAGATCTCCAGACTAACATTTATACCCAGCCTCGCCCTGCTGATTTCAGTAGGGCCTGTAAACTGGTAGAGGATATCTGTATAAAGTATGCTTGCCTAACTAAACATCAGATCCATTTGTCTGAACCAGAATAATGGGTCCTAGCACCGTTTAGCATTGTTTTCCTGAGAGCCAGTCAATATGTTTAACTGTTCACTTACTAGTATCACTTGAAGGATGGATAAACAACCATGTTTCCACCAGTTAACTACTTTGACAAGCCCAGGTTGGGTGCACTTATATTTCTTCTCTCTCCTTTGTTACTTGGTTCTTTCCCCGCCTCTTCATTTTTTCTTGGCATCTGGGCTTCGTAGCTTTGTTCTTTCCAGCTCACCTATGCAACCAGACCCTTCAAGAT